GCGCCTGTAGCTGCACCTAGTTGGGAGAGTCTTGTTCTCCAAGAGGCAAGAGAATCGCTTAAGCCCAAGAGTTTGAGGGTGCTGTGAGCTGTGAAACACTCTACTGAGGGCAGCATAGTGAGCCTCTTGGCTAAAAAAAAAAAAAAAAAAAAAAAAAAAAGGAAAAAAAATATAGCCACTGCACCTGGACTTTTTTTTGTTTGTTTTTGTTTTAGTAGAGATAGGGTACTGCTCTTGCTTAGGTGAACTTGTGAGTGCAAGCAATCCACCCATTTTGGCCTCCCGGATTGCTAGAATTACAGCACCTGAGCCACAACTCCCGGCCATGGACTCTTTATTAACATTTAATAAATATTTTAATGAAGAATGAGTATTATATTATTTAACAATAGTTTTTATTATAAGAAGCACTTTAGCAGGCGGCACCTGTGGCTCAGTGGGTAGGGCACCAGCCCCATATACCAAGGGTGGTGGGTTCAACACAGCCAAACACGGCCTCAGCCAAAGTGCAACAAAAAATAGCCGGGCATTGTGGCAGGCGCCTGTGGTCCCAGCTACTCAGGAGGCTGAGGCAAGAGAATTGCATAAGCCCAGGAGTTGGAGGTTGCTATGAGCTGTGATACCACGGCACTGTACTGAGGGTGACAAAATGAAACTGTCTCTAAAGAAAAAAAAAGAAGCATTTTAGCATACTTATATAGATAAGTAAACTAGTCCCTGGGGACAATTTGAGAATATCTGTTCACAGGAGGACAATCCACAGTGGAGTGGGATTTTCTGGTCCCATCCCTATGATACCAGGAACACCCACTTTTCCCTAGCTCCTTTACCCTGCACCTATGGGAAACATAGGGCTGACCTGTAGTCCTCACGAGTGGCAATGAGGCTGGACACATTGCGCAGGATGCCGCCGCCACTCTCTATGATGGCCAGGGAGTTGCTCTGGCATTTGTAGGTCAGTGTGCTCACCAAGAAGCCAAGGGCACCATCCACCTGGCAGATGGCTGCCTTGTTCTCCGTGCTGTGGGCCGACAGGTTCCACAGGGCACTGAGTACACTCTTCAGGGTGGACTCCTGGGCACAGGATTGGAGAGGAGGCGTCAGCACCCAGCAGGGCAGGGGCAGGCCCATGGGTTCCTATACCACCTTCTCCCCAGAGGTCGGAAGGAGAGACACCCAGACATACTTTCAGATATACCAAAACACAAGGAAATCAGCTGTCTCAGGGTCTGCAAGCCTCAGGCCAGTCTGAGTCTGGACCACTTACTAAGCTTGATTTCCCATCAAATCGGAGAATTCACTACCTGCTGTCAGTGTCTCCACAGTAGTTCCCCTCCTTACCCTATTGGGTGCCCACCTTGGTGGCCCGCAGGACGCAGTGCACCAGGGCCGTCATGCTGCCAACCTCTCGCAGCACCTTTTTGCTGTTGATGTCAGCCCTCCAGGACAGGTTGCGCAGGATGCTAGATACCACCTGGGTGGGAAGTGGGGGGCAGAGTGGGACCCAGACCCAGGGGTGGCCCCCACCAACCCCCACAAGAGGGTATGAAGTCCCCCCCAGCCCCCTGTATCCTTAGGGAGGAGTGACTGTCAAATGAGCACTAGGCAGACTCCCACAGAGCCCCCAAAGAACTGTCCCTGTCTACCTGCCTGCCACAAGTACCTGGTGGAGCTCTTCACTTTCAGAGGACAGCTGGGCCACAATGGCCTCCATGCAGCCACGGCGTGCACACAGCATGGCCTTGGGGATGACACAGGACAGGGTCACACCAGGTGGAGCAGGAGACACAAGTGAAACTGCTCCCCCTTCCAGTTCCATGTGCTGGAGCTGCAGACCTGGACCCCAGTCCTCACTGCCACAGCAGAATGCCACTGTGGTGCTAAGGAGAGGAAACCGAGGCTTGGCCAGGTACACCCAAGGCCCCTGCTCTGAGATGGACACCATTCTCTGCAGAGGCCACAGTGGAGTTCCAGAGGACATTGGCCTGGGCAAACAAGTCCCATGCAGCCCATCCCACCACCCTCTGGGCTTCAGTCTACCCTGCTGTAAGTCAGAGACATTGTCCCCATCTCCCAGGCTGGGACAATGGGGAGGGAGGCTCAGGCCATCCCGGGTGCCCACCCGTGGCCCCCAGGCACCTTGTTGGCGACATCCCCAAAAGTGAGGTTGGTGAGGGTCATGCCCGCATAGCGGCGCAGGGCTAGGTTCAGCGGATCCCGGGTCATCTTATGCATCTCATAGTCCACCTGCAGTAGCTCCGCCACAGCCTGCAGCCCACCTGCGGGGACCCAGCCAGGCTGAGGGCCAGTGGGCTAGCGCCCCTGCAACCCCACCATCCTCTCCCCAGCCTGGCCTGGTCTTTCTCCTACTTAGACATTCCCTTCATCCCACCCCAGCCTGCTTTCACGGCCCCTTTCAAGCCCAGGTCTGAGCCCTCTGTAGCTTCCACTCCCACCTCCTGGCTGCCTGGCCTTTGCACAAACTGTTCCCACTGCCTGGATTTTCTTCCCTGCTCTGTGAGACAAGGTTCCTCAGGGAACTCCCCTCCCCACCCAAGACCATCAGATGGAGAGCTGCATCTCCAGCACAGGGTCATGATGACAAGTGGCTGTCACATTCATGGTTCTTCATGAAAGAAAAGACTGGACTGCCAGGTTTTTACTTCATAAGGGAAAATGAACTTGGGACAGGGGGAATTGTCCCTGTGAGTAGGAGAAAGAACTTGTCACCAAAACTCAGAGCAAAACAAAGATAACACGGACAAACTGGATCATTCTCTGGGCTGGGCAGGTCTATAGAGAATGCCCTTTTGGGAAGCAGGTTGGCAACACATATCTAAAAACCTCCAAAGTGAAACATGGACACCCACACACACAGCAGCAGTGACAAGCATCCAAAAGCAGGTAAGTGGACACGTATAACTCAGTCCATGCACATGGGAATATCACTCAGCCATGAAAATGAATGAGGCTCTGACACAGGCTACAACATGGATGGTCCCTGAGGACATCATGCTCAGTGAAAGAAGCCAGACACAGAAGGACACAGAGTGTGATCCCACTCATAGGCGGTCCCTAGAGTCCATAGACTCACAGAGATAAAAGAATGGTAGGTGCCAGGGGCTGGGTGGGGTGCGAAGTTTTTCATGAGGACAGTTTCAGTTTGGGAAGATGAGAATTTCTAGCACTCAAGTATTTATAGTACAGAAAATTAAACAGGAAAACATATCAAACCCCAGAATACATGGTCCAGCAGGCATCAGAGTCAGAACACCTGGACAGCCCCACTGAACAAACTCTTACAACAGAATAAAAGTGGAAAAAGAAGAAATCATGTCTTGGGTGGCACCTGTGGCTCAAAGGAATAGGGTGCTGGCCCCATATACCAGAGGTAGTGGGTTCAAACCCGGCCCTGGTCAAAAAAAAAAAATCATGTCTCTGTATTATCATTAAAATAACTGTAATATATCTAGGCACGGTGGCTCATACCTGTAATCTCAACACTCTGTGAGGCTACGGTGGGAGGATCGCTGAGGAGTTCAAGACCAGCCTAGGTAAGAGTGAGACCCCATCTTTACAAAAAATTAAAATATTCACTGGGTGTGGTGATGGGCACCTGTAGTCCAGCCACATAAGAGGCTGAAGCAGGAAGGTCACTTGAGCCCAGGACTAGAAGGCTACAGTGAGGTATGATCCTGCCAATGCACTCCAGCCTGGTGACACAGTGAGACCCTATATTAATAAACAAACAAACCCCGATAGTCCAGTGATTTGAATTAAAAAGAGGAAAAAATTTTTTTGACTTTGTGCATTTCCTATAAGGTTTTCAGGAACCAGCATTTTGAGAACTGCTGTTTTATAATAAAAAAGTAATACACATAGGGTGGTGCCTGTGGCTCAAGGAGTAGGACACTGGCCCCATAGACCAAGGGTGGTGGGTTCAAACCTGGCTCCAGCCAAACTGCAACAAAAAATAGCGTTGTGGCGGGCACCTGTAGTCCCAGCTATTCTGGAGGCTGAGGCAAGAGAACTACCTAAGCCCCAGAGTGGGAGGTTGCTGTGAGCTATGATACCACAGCACTCCACTGAGGGTGACAAAGTGAGATTCTGTCTGTTAAAAAAAATAAAAAGTAATATAGTACAAATGTCAAGTCAGAATGAAAACTGAAATTCTCCTTTTCCCGCTTTGCCTGGCAGGAACTGTGGCCAAGGAGCTCTCCCTAGTACCATGTGTTTGAATAGTATCCCCGGGTATGTATGTGCAGGTGTATTTTACAGAAATGGGTCTATACTGCATATACCACTGTGCACTCTAGCTTACCAAGAATTTAAACGGTGGCAAAATGTGCTACTGCATTTAACCCTTCCCTGACTATTGGACATCTGTGATATTACCAGTTTTCTGGTTTTATTTGGGTTGGTCACTGCCTTCCTGTGTTTTATTTTTTGCGCCTTATAGCCAGAGGATAGATTCCCAGCTGGGGGAGGGATGATGCAGAGAGTATGTCCTCATGGAGTCCACTGTCACCAAATACTCCTCTAAAGAGGTAGTCTCAATTTGCTCCCAACCTTAGCAGGGATTGCTCTGTTTCTGCACAGCCAGACCAACACAATTGTATAAAACATTTGAGTGATCTGACCATCTACTGACTGTAAAGTAGGATCTCACTTGTAAAACATAGAGTACAATTCAACATACTGATGTTATTTTGGGCCTTTGTATTTCCTGTTCCATGTTTCAATTGCTTTTATACTGACAAAGGAAAGATGTCATAATGTCTCCAAACCTAAATCTCCAAAAGGCCAACACTCCCTGCCCCTTGGGTGTACATATACACCCAATGGATCTCATTCTGTGTTTTAAGTCAAATCATTCTCTGTATTTGTGGCTTCCCATCCACTCTGCTGTTCTGAGCCCCAGAACACTGTGGCCGAAAGCCTTTCCCCAGATGAATGGGCCCAGAATCCTTGGGCCAAACAGGGGGGCAGCATGCAACTCATGGGGACAGAGGACCCAGGATTACTATCCACTCACAACAGTGCTGTGTGACCCCAGGGAGTCTGTCCCTGTCTGGGCCTCACTGCCCCTGGCCCTGACTATACAAATACTAATGGTCCAGCCTCTGTCCCACAGCAGCTGAGGTGTCACCAGCTATGTAGGAGGTGGAGCCAAGGTCCCCAGAGGAGGCACACAATAATACTCACCTAGTTCGTTCATGGCACGGCGGTATTCCTCATCAAAAGACAGCTTCATCACTGCACAGGTGGCCTGACAGATCTGTGGCTCAATGGGGATGGGAGCTGTGGGCAAGGGAAATGTTCCTGGGTGGCCCCCAAAGTTCCCCACCCATTTGCCTTCTCCTCCCCACTGGCTTGAAGGATCCCATGAGTTGAGCTCTGCCACCTGCTGCCTGTTGCGATTTCCTTTATCCCCCATAAGACCTGATAATGAGGCAGCCTGTTTCTCCCAGCCTGGCACATGATATCTTTAAGCTGTGCTGTGTCTTATATTTAATTTGCAATCAGCTGGAAAAGATAGAATCTCAATTTTGCATCCAACTTTCCTGATTTACCCACAATCCATGTATTCAGTGATTCTCTTGGGCATCTGCCCTGCACCAGACCAAAAATGACCATTGTGGGGCTCTAACTGTACTTTGCCAACCTGTCCTAAGCCTCCTGTCCCCGTAAGTCCTCAGCCAGAGCATAGTGCACATAAGGTGGGCAGCGATGGCTGGTGGCCACCCAGGAATCCCATCCTTCATGCTCATTGTATGGAAGTGGCCAGGGAGGCCCACCACTCACCACCACCATTGCTGCCACCACCCTCGGGCTCACTGTCACGGGCCTGCAGCCAGTCCCAGCAGGTCTCACAGTAAGCACGGATCTGCTCCAGCACATGCAGGACACGCATTTCCTTGCGTGCCAGGCCCTGGTCTGGCTGTGAGAAGACGATGTTGTGCAGTGCTGCATTAGCACGCATGCGCGCATCCTTAGCACCCGGAGCACCAGGGGTCTCAGTGCGACCCCCAGCCATGGTCTCCACACCGTGCAGGATCTGCAGCAGCAAGGGCAGGCAGCCAGAGCGGCGCATGGCCACACAGCTCTCAGGTGAGCTGGACATGGCAAGCAAAGTGCGTGCTGTGTCTTCCTGGTCACGCGTTGCCAGCATGGACAGTAGCCAGAAGACCACTTCTACCTGGGGGCAGGAAGGCTGGGTCAAGGTGAGGACCTCTGCCCCTGACTAGCCCCAGCCATCCTGTCTCTCCTCCCCATCCAGGACCCCCCCAACACACAGTGATTTCCTAAATGCAGTCAGAGAGCCCTGTGACCCCAGCCCAAAAGGATTACTTGTTCTATTCACCTAGTGAGCAGCCACACACACATCTGAGGGATGGAGGGGGCACCAGGGAGACACACACTGGGGAAATACCCAGCCCATCCACCAACCTCACTGGGCATTCCTAGGGGGTGGCAATGTACAGCTGAGAGGTTACAGAGAGACATCTAGAGTGCCCCCAAATATACTGGATGGATATCCCTGTCCACCTTGTCAGACCCCCACCCTCATTCCAAGCCTGACTCCAGGGAAGTCCTCCGGGGCCAGGGGACTTGGATTAAGGCACAAAAGTGGCTTCACATCTGGCAAGTGTGCAGGGCCTGCCCCACCCCACCCACCTAGCAGCCCTCCCACCTCACCCTCACCTTGCTGTTGCCCAGCTGAGGGGTGCCGTCCTCAGGGACCTCTGTCTCAGGATCCTCATCGACTGGCACTGACTTCACTGCCAATAGAGCCTGCAAGGAAAACACTAGCTTGGGGGTTCAGTCCAGGAGCACCCCAAATAGCCCCCATTCTGCTGACACTGCCTCTCCCCATGATGCTGTGAGTGATGGCTTCCTACTGGCCTCTGAGCCCTGGGCAGGGGGCTAGGAGTCCTCACACTACCTAAGCAGTCACCATCCCTTGGGCCCTGCCCAGCCTTCCAGTACCTCGGGCTCCGTCTGCTGCACCCGGTCCTGGGCCTCCAGCAGCTCCTTGTCTATTTGCTCCAGGCGCGAAGCGCGGATCTACGTGGGGGAAACACGTGTGTCTGGCAGAACTGACCACGCACTGGCATCTGACCCCGCCTTCTCCTTGGAATGACTCTGCCCCTGAGCCGACTCCCTCATCTTCCTCTATGACCCCGTCCCCAGGCTCTGACTCCGCCTCCTACCTGGTATGACTCCACCCCAGATTCTGACTCACTTTCTCCCTATTACGACCCCCCACCTGGACTCTTGACACCTCCCACTCCCTGCCATGGCCCCACTCACCGACTAAACCCCGCCTTAACCTTCTAGAACTTTCCCTTCCCCTAATCTGACCCTGTACACATGCCCTAGTTCTCAGGCTTTGCCGGGACTGAACCTCTCTGCCTTCACCCACCAACAGCTCTAGCTTCTGGTTCCCACTCCTGAGCCAGACTCCACCCACCACAGTCCGCCCTCGGATCTGTCCACCGGCATGACTCCGCCCATTCAAGCCCCACCTTCAATAAATCTCTGCAATCCTATCTAACCACATATATATGACTCTGTCCTTTAGCCCAAGCCACAATAAATTTATGCACTCTGACCCGCCCACCGGCATATGACACTGTTCATTAACTCAAATCCCGCCCACAACCTGTCCTGTGACACCCCCACTGGAATGACTCCGCCCACTTATCCAAGCCCCACCCACCATACTCTCACTCGGATCCGCGCACCTGAGCCCGCTGCACCATCTCGTCTGAGGTGCCAAAACGCTCCTCCATCAGCGAACGGATGTGCTGGGCCTCGAACTCCAGCTGCTGCCGGATCAGGTCCATTTGCATCGAGAACTGCTGGGAAGGGCAGGCGGGCCACGGTGAGGGGCTCCTGGGTGGGGGGGCGTCCCTGCCACTCCCCTCGTCCTTGGCGGGCACAGCTGAGCCCTGCCATTCAAACCCACTCACCGTCTCCACGTGCGGCAGCTCATCCAGGCGTTTGGACAGACCCTGAAGCTGTGAGTAATACCAGAGCTTTTCCTTCTCTTCTTTCTCAATTTCATTCAATAGGAAACACCTGGGGGAGGGCAGGATGGAAAGCGCGCCACTGTAGATGTGGTTTACTTGAATTTTTGCAATCAATTGGCGCTTACTATATAGCAAGTTTAACAGGCAGCAAGGCAGTTGTCTCCCTATGGCACTTTTGGAACTAGGGTCTGAGGATTAATGTAAGTAATTAAATGGGGCACACAGAATTAATTTAAAGGAGAGAAGGCAATTTGTTTATAAATTCTGATCCTCAGAGAAAGACTCTGACAGTTCTTGTTCTGACTTTATCACCTCTCCATACTTGCTGATCTCCTGCCAGCTTACACATGTAGGCTTCAGGCACCAAGAGCTCCAGGGGAGCTCTGCTCTCTGGAGAGACACTGCTAGTTCCATTTTGCAGAGCATTAAGTCTAAGGGTTTAGGGGACTTGACTGAGGCCACACAGCAGAGTACTGAGTTAACAACTCCTAACAACCCCTGAACCAGCTCATTTGACCCCACACAACCCAGCCGAGCCAGATGAGCAGAGCCTACTGCCTTCTGCTGACCTGGGCCAAGATTTCTTGGGCCGTGTCCCTCTCTCCACAAAAGCTGCCTTGAGGTCCTCTGGCTCCAGGCCTGAATGTGAGCTCTGTCCCTACACACAGCCCTGTCTCTAGCCAGGCCTGTTTGTCAGGGACTCCTGGGAGGTCCCTCAAGGGGCCTTTAGCTTTGCCAGGAATGCCCCCACCTCCCAGCCTCTCTGTCCTCCAGCTGAGGTAAGCTGAGACTGCACAAGGGAAAAGCAGCTGGAGGAGGAGTAGGGCTGGCTCAGTAGGCAGAGGGCCTTGGGGGCAAAGCTGAGGTAGAGTTATGCGACAGCTGCTCCCTACCTTCCCTCCCCTCCCCTCCATCCCTCCCCCCCAACCCTGTCCGGTTCAATATCCTCTCACCGTTCCCGGTCCAGTTCCTCCAGCAGCCGGATGGTGGCCCGGCTCAGCTCCCCAAAACTATCTTTGGAGGGCCCAGAGCCATGTACTGGGCTTCCCTCGGGGGTCCGGGTGACAGGCTCTGGGTCCAGAGCAGGTGGCTGGAACTTGAGATTGTACAGGCTGGTGATGTCCATCTGCAAGGCTAGATGGGTGCAGAAGGCAAAGGTGAAGGTCAGTGCCCATGCCTGCCCTTCAGTTCCCCTCCTGCTAGAGGTCAGTCCCTGGCCAGCCCCTCACCTTTTAGCTGTTCCAGGACCTCTGTCTGCCCAGAGGACACCAGCACTCGTGCCTCTTGCTCCAGCTTACCCTGTAGGTGCTTTAGAACCTCCTGAAGGTAGGGTGGGAAAGGGACCAGGAGGCATCAGCCCACTGCTCCAGGCTGCCCACCCATCCTGTGACCCATATCTTCCACCCAGACCATCACCTTCATGCCAGATGTCTCTGTTTCCAACTTGGATAGGTGGCTGGAGTTGTCTCGTAGCTCTTGCCTCAGATGACTGTTCTCAGCCTTCAAGGCCTCCACCTGCCGCACAAGCTGCTCATAAGATGCCACAGAACTCGTCATCTTCAGTTCCTGTAGTGACTGGGGTCACAGGGTAAGAGGGTTCAACCTAAGGACCAAGGAGGTCACAGGTGACACCTTCTAAGACCTAGGCCTCAGCTATCACCCAACTCTAAGAGTAGGTCCCAGGCAAGAGTGTCTCCTGTCTCGAATGAACCACTAAGGGTGGGACACTGTTCGCCTAGGAAATCCGGGGCACAGACAGTGTGCCAGATGGAGTGAGAGATATGGGTAGCCACAAGAAGAGAAAGAGGGATTGAGCCATCACACAGGTGTTCAGAGACACAGACAGCCAAATGCCCAGCTGACAGCATACAGGCTTGCCCCTCACTGGCAGTCTCCCAGACACACGTGTGTGCTCACAGCTAGTTGACAGATACATGGACAGCTGAGACAGTCTAAACCGGCAGATCAGCTGACCAGCCCAATACCCTCAGCTTCAGAGACACAGTCATAGCCAGAGAAGGCAACAGCCAGCCAGACAGACAGGACCCTCCCCCACAGACATGGAAGCTGACAGCCAAAGAGGTTGAGTGGACAGAGCCCCCACCAGAAAATAAGGACATCTTAAGGGTTAATAGACAATACCTAAGGAACAGTGGGCTGATGAGAGAGCCCCTGGCAGCTGACAGCCGGAGAGATAGACCCCAGCCCACCGTGACCACCCCTGGTGTCTGAGATCTGGACCTCCTGCAGCTCCACCTCCGCGTTAGTATCTGGGTTTTAAGTAGCTACTTTTGACATCCCAGCACCCTCTGATCAGCCTTCAGCTAGTGTCTGCTGGCTTGGCATCGCCACCCCATGCCCTGGGCTCTGCTGCCACTACCACCTGCTGCCTCTTTGTGCCTCCGCTGTCTTCTTCCTGGCCCAGCCTCCTCCTCCTGTCCAGCTGGCCAGAACCTCCTCTCTTAGCTCAGTTATACAGTCCCCCATCCCCCCTTACAGTGCCCTTCCCTCTTTGTTCCCTTCCCACCAGCGCTCCCCCTCCCTCTGCCTTTGTCTGAGGCTCACCAATGGCAGCCCATCCCCTTTGCCAGCTTCTCCATGGGAACCCCCTCCCCGAATCAGCCCTTCCCTGTCCCCTACTCCTCCTCCTCCCTACCCTACCTGGCCATGAACATTCATTCCCTTGCTCATTCATTCTCCTCTCCCTTCCCCCTCCCCAAGAAACCCCAGCCCACTGTATGTCACCAAAGGCACAGCTGGGAGGGAGTAGGGTAGGGGTGTGCAGGTGGGAGCACAAGGTCCAGTCATCACAACCTACTCAGAGGACCTACCATGTGCTCAGTAATGTTATCTGGCTTCTTTCTTGTCATAGTTCTGAGTCTCAGGGACCACCATTAGGCTGTTCCCAGAGGAGAAACTGAGACCCAGGGTAGGGGGAAATAGACCCAATAAGGAAGTGTACAAGGCATGACTAGGACTTAGACCTTGCTCAGAAGTCTAGGCAATGCTGGAGGCATGACAAGATGGGCCCCCTCTCCAGGCCTTGGGTTACCATCTGGTGAATGGGGAGGCCCTGCCCATCATGAACAGCTGATATTTGGGTCAGGTGCACAAGAGGGTCAGAGTGGGAGATGGTGTGTCAGGCAGGGGAGGCAAGCAGCCTGGGGGAGATCCTGAGGTCTGCCCCAGGTCCGCTATTCTGGTTGAGGGCACCATACCATGCCCAGCCAGGTAGAAGCGCAAGATGAAGGACAAACCACTCCCCAAATCCAGGCCTTCTCCTTAAGCTGAACCATGTCCAGGCCAAGCTTTGGTAATATTCATCCTCCTGCATTTGGTGATCACTCCTGTGTTCTCATCAGAGTGCACTTGGCAGCACAGCTGTCCACTGGACTCCTTCTCATTTCAGCTGAGTGTCCATGATGGGACACTCCCACCAGCTTCTCCAAACTCTGCACAGCTGGACCACCCTCCCCAACTCATAAAACCCCTCCTTCAGGGTACTCTCATCAGCCTCTTCCAGGTCATATCCATTCCTCCTGCACAGTCAGAGGGAGCTTTAAAAGTCACAAGTTGGATTCTATCTCCTTCATGCTCAAACATTGTCTATGGCTCCCAGTGACCTCAGGATGGGATCTGACTACATATATATATCCTAGATCACTTGGAAACCAACTGCTTTCTTCTCTCAGGCCTTTGCACACACACTTCCCCTGCCTGGAGTAGCTTTCTAGACTCTGGTCATCCTGCACAATGCAACTTCCTCCAGGAAGCCCTCCTGCCTGCACTTCGTCCCAGGTTGCCTGAGAGATCACCAGAGCGAAAGGACCAATAGCCAGGGTTGGTCTTACTGGGTGGTGAGCAGCTGAATTGTAAAGGAGGGAGACAGATATGTAATGTCAGGCCCAAATGACCCTTGTCATTCCTTTAACCCAAGTCCCTTCTTACAGAGAGAGAAATTGAGGCCCAGTGAGGGGCAGCAGCACCCCACCAAGGCACACAATCTGCCTACCCACAGACTCACCAACCCCTCACCTCCCAGCATCTCCTGGAGATGTGGATGTTGAAGCCCCTGAGTAGGTGTGTGCACAGCACCGGCTGCAGCAACACAGATGCTCACATCACTGAGACTCAGTTTCCCCTCCAGCTTCCACCTCAGAGAAATAAAGATCCCAGACAGGTGAGGCAGCGAGAAAGCGATGGAGACTGGGACACGAGACGGAGGTTGCCACCTCCTCCCTCCCTCCACCCCAGCTTGGCCCTCCATCAGGGAAGAGGCATCCGCTTACTTGCAGCTGGGCTGGCTGGGGCGTCCAAGCCTGAGACTTTTCCCACCTTGCAGCTCGGTAGGCCCCGGGTGGCCGCGAAACGTGGGTTCTGGGGTTCAGGGGCCTCCGCAGGGCGGACAAAGCCCAGTCTGGGCCTGGCCAGGCGGCGCCGCAGCTCCGATGGCTGGGCTAAACCACCGTAAGTGGGGGGGAGAGGATGAGGGATGCGGGATGCCGGCGCAGTGGCCAATGACGGCGGGGGAAGACGGACTGGTGCCATGGCAACAGCCAATGGAGGCCTGGGGTGGAGACCGGCGGCAGCAGGGCGTCCGGCCTCTGCACGGGCCTGGGGGGCGGGGGGCGGGGCGCGGCGGCTGTGTATGCTGGGGGAGAATCCCCGAGGGAAGGGATAGGGGATGCTCGGAGGACCAGGGTCCTGTGCCCCTTACATTAGGCCTCTTAGAGCCTCCCCTCCCCCCTGCAGCTAGACTCGCAGAATTGAGAGAGTAAGACACTAAGGCTTGGCTGTTACATCAGAATTTTGGCGGGGGCAGGGGCCAGGCCAGACTCTTCCCCACAGATCCAGCCTGGCCTGTGCGAATGTGTCAGGGCTGGATAAGAGTCCAGGCTGGAGCTCCCTCAGGGTACTGGCTGGAAGAAGGTGAGGGACTGTTGGGAGAGGGGCAGGAACGCTGGGCACTATTCAAGACCCTGCACCTTCCCCTGCTTCTCCCTGTCCCTCTACCCTCATGGCACAATGCACAGCTTCAGGTCAGGTCCTTCTGTAACTCTGCCTCCTTCCCCACATCTCTCTGTTTCTCTGTCTCCCCTCAGTCTCTATCTCCCTGGGGGTCTGTCCCTTGTCCCACTCTCAATTCACCCTCACAAAAGGGAAGCCAGAAGAGAGAAGGTCCTGGGGTCCGTCCCAGAAGTCCAGGTGTACAGCTGTCCCAGTCTTCAGTGGGTCTCCAGATGCCACTTGAGAGTTTAACACCCACAGACCAAACCTGCAGCTAGGGTACAGTCTTTCCTGTGCCAAGGAAGCGCACAGGATGATACAGAGCCAGGGCAAATCATTCACCTTGCAATGCTCAGTTTACTCCTTTGTAAAATAGAGAGAATGGAGATTTTGGAAGTGCTGGTACAGGGAATGATGGGAGAGACTGGGAAGTTCTGACCTCAGCAAAGGCACTGGAGGAACAATGCTGGCTTCTGTTGGGTCTGGAGTTGGAGACCCTGAGTACCCCTATACTGCATACTCAGCAATGCTAGGGCCAAGAGACTCAGGCCTGACTGTCCAGGAGCCTCTAGAGCTGTCTCAACTTGTTGGGTCTGGGGAGTGAACATAACAGGCAGAGAAGTTTTTCCAGGAGGTCAGGCAGGCTGCCCTGAGAAGGGAACATTGGTGCAAAGAATGACCAAGAGGGCTAGGCACCTGTGGCTCAAGTGGCTAAGGTGCCAGCCACATACACCTAAGGTGGTGGGTTCAAATCCAGCCCGGGCCCGCCAAACAACAATGATGGCTGCAACCAAATATAGAGCTGTGATGTCACAGCATTCTACCCAGGGGGACAGCTTGAGGCTCTGTCTCAAAAAAAAAAAGAAAAAAGAATGACCAAGAGTAGAACAGAGGCCCAGGATGAGGGAAGTGCTTGCTCAGGGATAGTGGGTGTCTGGAGGCATGGGGTAGAGCAGGTGGTAGGGTTGACCTGGGCAAGGCAGGAAGGAGTGAGTGCAAGGACAGCTCCCCTGGGAGCTCATGGTGAGACCAGGGGACAGCTGGGAAAAATTGGAATTTGTGGAAGTTGCACAGAGTCCAGGGCTCTGACTTTATCTCTGCTCCCCATCCTTGTGTGACCCTGGGCATGTTCTCTCTGGCCTCAGTTTCCAAGGTTATTTTATTTTATTTTATTTTTGAGACAGAATTTCAGTCTGTTGCTGTTGGTAGAGTGCTGTGGCATCATAGCTCACAGCAACCTCCAACTCTTGGGCTTAAGCAATTCTCTTGCCTCAGGCTCCCAAGTAGCTGGGACTATAGGCGCCCGCCACAACGCCCGGCTATTTTTGTTTTTGTTTTTGTTTTGCAGTTTTTGGCCAGGGCTGGGTTTGAACCCACCACCTCCAGTATATGGGGCTGGTGCCCTACTCCTTGAGCCACAAGTGCCTCCCGCCCAGCTATTTTTGTTGCAGTTGCCACTGCTGTTTTAGCTGGCCAGGACTGGGTTTAAACCCGCCACCCTCAGTATATGGGGCCAGCGCCCTACCCACTGAGCCACAGGCGCCACCCCTCTGGAGTTTTTTTAATAAGTAAATCAACTTTAATTGCATGACTTACAACAGTTGAAGTTTTTTAGGGGGCAGGGGTCTGGAGACAGTCTTACTGTCTTGCCTAGGCTAGAGTGCCCTGGCATCCACCTAGCTCACATTACCCTCAAACTCTTGGGCTCAAATGATCCTCCTGCTTTAGCTTCCCAAGTAGCTAGGACTACAGGTACATGCCGTAACACCGAGCTAATTTTTTCTATTTTTTAGTAGAGATGGATTTGCTCTTGATCAGGCTGGTCTTGAATTTTTGATCTCAAGCAATCCTCTTGCCTTGGCCTCCCAAGAGTGCTAGAATTACAGGCATGAGACACTGTACTAGTCCCCCCACCCCACTAGTCCACCCCCCCACTTCTATTTTTTTGAAACTGACTCTGTTGTCCAGGTTAGAGTACCATGGCCTTAGACTAGCTCAAGGCAAACTCAGACTCTGGGTTCAAGTGATCCACCTGCCTCAGCCTTCCTAGTAGCTGGGACTACAGGCTCCTGCCACAATACACTGCTAATTTTTCTATTTTTAGTAGAGTCTAGGTCTCCCTCTTGCTCTGGCTGGCCTCAAACTGCTGAGCTCAAGCAATCCTCTCACTTTGGCTTCCCAGAGTGTTAGGATTACTGGCTCAGTTTCTAGTTTTGTTCACTGGGGAGAGTATGGATAATCCCTGCCGCCTCCTCGTCCAATAGTACAAAGTCCCACCTCCCCAACTGTGACAATTTCAGATGTCACAGTTCCCAGGACCTTCTCAAGCAGGGATTTGGGGAATCCAGTGGTTCAGTCCTGTTCTTATATACATGGGGAAACTGAAATTCAGACCAGGGACCATATTGCTTGAGTTCATCCATGAGCCCTAAAAGGACCCTAAAAGTGATTGATTCTGGGCCTCCTTCCTCACTCTTGTGAGTGTATCCAGGGTCTGGAAAGCTGGGGGACACAGTGGCTGAGACCCTGAGACAAGATGCCCTGGGCCCAAAGCCTCTGGAACATCAAATCCTTGACCCTATAAATCCTTAGGCCACAGCCAGCTTCAGGCACCACTGGACATTGTAGAACCACAAGAACCCCCGGGGGTCCCAGGCCTACCTTTGGTGGGGGACTAAGCGAGAACTCCCTGCTGTCCCATTGCACAGTGCGGAAGCTTAGCCTGGTCATGTTCCCAGGCTCCCTCCCTGAGACCCTCTGCACCCCTTGCTGCTGCTAGGTTGAGGGCTAAGTTCCATTAAGGGGCTCGCTTCTGCCCACCTCTGCCCTGTGATTCCTCTCCCCAAGCACACAGCCTGGCACAGGAATCACCCCCTGAGTATCTTTGGGCCTTCTGAGTCTGACCTCAGGCTGTCCTGCCTCCTCATGTGCAACCCTTACCCGAGTCTCCTCAGTGCCAGGGGCTGAGGGTGCAAAGGGAGAGTCCCCACTTGAGTTGGGTGGTGGCAGAGAGAATTACAAAGACATTTGGTGCAGGAGGATAGAGACAGGGTCACAAGCTAAGTGACCATCAGGGTCCTGGAAGGTGAGAAGGCTTGTCACTGGAGGTGGGTGAGGGATGGGGCAGGCCTGTCCAGGTCGCGCCCTGCAGCTCAACAACGGCTTTGGGCCTCAGTTTCCCCGAGTGGTGAGCAGGCAGAGTCGCAGCCCCTTCAGCACCGCGGACAGCTGCCCTAGTCCCTGGGCGTGTCCTCTGCGGGTGCCTCTGTTCTGAAGTCAGTCTTTGGCCCTACTGGAGGTGTGACCTTGGGTTTCCCACTGGACCCTCCAGCCTTGGTTTCCCCTTAAACGAGGGATGTTATAGCCCCCGATTCAGAACGGTTACAGAAGCCGGGGTCGGGTAGGAATGGATGTTATGATTAGCAGCGTTGGTGAACGTCAAAGTAGGCCCCATGCTCTGTGCCCAGAGAGGGAAACTGAGGCCCAAAGAGGTGCAGGGCGTGTCCCAGTATCCCCACCATGTGCAGGGCAGAGCCTCTGGAGACACAGTGCGGTCCTGCCGCAGGCCCCACCGCCTCCCAGCTGGCCTCAACTCAAGTGTTCCAGTCCGGGTAATGAGGAGGGGTCCAAGGGTCTCCATAGGAGGCGGAGGTCTGTGCCCGGCCAGGACTGGGCCAAGCGAGGCCTGCGCTTGCGCAGACTGGGGAGGAGGGTGCTGCGGTGCGGGGAAGGGGCCCTAGCCGTGAGAACGTCCCGAGGTGGTTTCCCAGGCAACTGTCTCCACAGCAACTGTGCTAGATCCCCCGACTCGTCATCTCACTGTACTTGCCGGTGCGCCCCCGGCCGCTGGGACCACCGTTCCAGCGGTTTAGAATCCGCTCGGGCTGCCCCCAGGCCAGACCCCACTCCCTACCCTGCAGGACCCCTCGTACCCTACCTGGTCCCCGAAGAAGGTCGAGTGCAGCAGGCTGAGCAGCCCCAAGAGCCCCATGGAGCCGTGGCTGCCAGGATCGGTCCGCGCCCCGCCCCTGGGTCGGGGTGGGGGTGAGGACAGCGATTTGGGATGCCATGCGCTTGCGCAGAGGGTGCAGGGAGGGCTCAACCAAGGGGCCGGGGCGGGGCTCCCCCCGGAAAGGGGCGGATGAGGGGATCCTGCATGGCCTGGAGGACCACGAAGAGGCGGGACTGGGAGTCTCGTGAGGCTCAGGCTCGTGGGGAATGGGAGGTGAGGGGACCCGCATAGGCAGAGGGGCGAGAGGTAGGGCTCTGGTCTGGCGGGAAGTTCTAACAAGCCTGGAGATGAGGGTTCCCGTAAGGGAGGAGAAACAATAAGGAGGGGTTCACGTAGGATGGAGGACCCCAAAGGGGAAAGGACAGGGGCTCGAGGAGGCTAGGAGGGTCTCATGTGGAATGGAGATCTCAGAGGGACAGAAACAGGCGTCACCCTGAGTCTTAGTCCGCTGCTCGCTTGAACAGACTCTCTGCGGAAGCTGGGCCACCTTCTTCAGTCTGTCTGGGGCCAAGTTCATTAGTCATTCAGCAAACATTTGCAACGCGCCAACTATTTCCCAGGCTCTGAGCTTGGCGCCCAGCGTATGGGGGCAGGACCGCACATAGACATTCAGTCATTTAACTTTTTTTTTTTTTTTAAGACAGTCTCACTTTGGCGCCCTGGTAGAGTATGGTGGCATCATAGCTCACAATAACCTCAAACTCTTGAGGTTAAGCGAGTCTCTTGCCTCAGCCTTCCAAGTAGCTGGGACTCCAGGCGTTCGCCACAACAACCTGGTTATTTTTATTTTTATTTATTTATTTATTTTTGTAGAGACAGAGTCTCATTCTATCGCCCTCGGTAGAGTGCCGTGGCGTCACACTGGCTCACAGCAACCTCCAACTCCCAGGCTTAGGCGATTCTCTTGCCTCAGCCTCCCC